GACTCCAAAGAAAGCAAAGAATGTTAGTCAGAGAAATAATAAAGTGTGCTCTCTACTGCAAAAAATCTGTCTTTGGTCTTTGTTGTTATTAGTGAACCTACTTGCTGGGATGCAGCAAATGTATTTTCAAGCCTTAGCCCTTCCTGTAAAAGGGCAAATTCATTTTTAAATGAAATCTAGGTACAGAAACTTCAACTCTTCTACAACAGCAGAGTGTTACTGGATGCAAGCTGTGTAATGCTCCTGTTGGCATCAGAGTGCTCCTGCAAATAATTTATTTTTACTTACAAAATCTGTGACAGTATTGCTGACCTATCAAAGCACCTGGCATCCTCTGGCTTCACTCCTCTTCAGCTGGTCTTTGCCAGCAGACTCAGTCATAATTAGGGTCACCCTCACCATAGTCTTGGGTTTAGAAAATATATCCTTCTCACTTGCTTTTTTACAGAGAGGATATTTGAGACCTTGAATTTAAACATACTGGGTAGCATCCAAAATGTCTTTGGCTGAACGGGGAACTGACCCCGGGTCCTCCTATCTTGAGATGGTGTCTTAACCACAACCCAGTACAACCACCTTTCACTGAATTGTTTCAGTAGAAACCTGATTAGTATGGGTAATGTAATGGAAATCACAGAATATAGACACTAATTCATTACCAGAGAATTAGTCATTCCTCTCCCCATTTCATCCTCCTACCCTTTTTTCTCCTGTTATTGCTTCTAAATATTAATGCTTTTTCTTCTCCCTCCCTTGCTAAGTTGAATTAAACTTTGTAAAATATTGCATTATATTGTCCACAGACACGGTGTTTAGATTACTTGGCTTTTTGGTTTTTGGGGGTGTGTCTTCTGAGTAGGAACATGCTATATATTAAGAAAGGTTCAATCTTCCCTTCTGGGCCCATACAAAACCGCAGGTGAGATGAACTGGCCCCGTTATGAGCCATGACACAAGAATCCCAGCCCTTTCACCAGCTACTGCTTAGCCTGGCCATCCATCCTCAAAAGGCAACTCATTAAAGCTGAGGGATTGTATCTCATTCTGCCCCTTTGCTTGTTACTGTGTTTAGCCCTTAGGCTCCAGCTTGCCAGAAGCCTTACTGTCTTTAGGGTTCAGGACCAAAAAACCCAACAGTATCACTTCACAGCCCTCTTGGGGGGTGGTTCATGAGATAGCCTAATGAGCACGTTCACAGTGTGAATCACACAGGAGCTATGCAAAGTGATGAGACTGATGTTTCCTAAGTTATTTCAACTCCAGCAGCTGCTCTTCCATTCTTTTACTTTAATTGCTACTGATGAAAACGTCAGTTGGCATTCTTGACTCATACTCTAGCCCCAGCCCATGGGGAAGATAACGTGACCTTAAGGCATCATCTAATCTGAGACAAAAATCTGGAAGAGCAGCAGAAATCAGATGGGAGAAAAGGCACATTTGAGCTCAACATCACAGTGCGTCAAGGACAAGACTTGAAGAATCAGGTGTTAATACAACCATGGGGGTCTACACCTAGCATATTGTTTTAGATGTTGCACAGCATCTGCCCACTGAAAACCCAGCAGGGAGATTTGCTCAAATATACCAAAGACAAAAAGGGCTTTATAGCAGACAGTATACATAGAGCAGGGCTTTGCCACACTCTACAGCCATACTTTGGATATTTTAATAGATTTGCATATGATGAGGAAATAAGCCCATTTTATCTTACTTCACGTGTTCAGAGCCAAAAACATTTTATTATACATAGTAGAAGTATTGTCAGCTCCGGATCAGAAAATATAGTTTGCTTGCATCCTTTCTTCAGCCGTATCTTCCAGTTCTGTGTCCAGTATGACTGTAAATAATTCAAGTTTAGGAGCTTAACATTTGTAACAGATTTTTCCATTATTCAGCCTAAGCTCCCACTCCCTTATTTGTATCCTCTTGTTCTTGTGATATCTCAGACCAGCCTACAGCTCCACACACATAAAAAAGAGGAAACAGGCATTTGCTTTACACATCCTTAGCAGCTGCAGTTTAGAGCCAATACGGCAAATCCCCCCAAGGTATCAGGGCCTTCTGCACATGCACGTGTCCTTGGTCACGGGGCAAGCAGCACCGTGACGAGGAAAGGAAATGGGGACACCAGCTGCAAACACAGTGCTCGTCGTAAGGCTCTTTTTTCCACAATGGCCACGTATTCCCTCTGAAATTGCACAAGGTCCTCTCTTACCTGCGCCTGCATTTTGCAGTCTCTAAGCTGTAATGGGCCATATGACTATGAGCCGTGCCACCGGCACTCACACCTCGCAAGGTGGTGGCCTCAGAAGTCCCTAGGCTGCTCCTGCTTTCTGGGTCTCAGAGGGACACCACTACTGCCTCAAACATATTTAGATGTGTGGGAGCCCCTGTAACTTAAATAGGAGATTTCAGGTCTCCCTCAGTTCTAGAGAGATTTAAGGGCATTGTTTGACCCTCAAAAATATGTCTTGCTGTGTCGTTCACCAGGAATCGAAATAGGC